AATGATCGAGTCGTTAGTCGTTAGTCAGAAGTCGCAACTAATATGTTGATCCTTTTCCTTTCTGGGTGGAAGAAAAAAGACCGACATATAGTTCCGACTTCTGACTAACAACTCATTGTAGACTGGGCGTAACGGTTATGGGCGTCGCCGGCGTCATGTGACTCCGTCATGTGGTCCCTCGTTGGATCGGTTGTTGAGTTGCTCCCGCGAAGTAATCCCAATTGGTCACAACTCACTTAACACTTCACAATAGAATATGCACTATCACATATATATCGCATTGTATACGATATCACACACAGTATCACCAATTTTACTCTGCAAACCGCATCGGCGATTTAACACTCGCGACGGATGAAATTCACTCTCGAGACACACGCTCGCGACACTCGACACTCGACACTCCCGTTCGCGGTGCACTCTCGACTTTTTCGGCGGTTTGAGGCACGCGAGACGCGACAACCGAACTTCCGAGTAGCCGCGGAGCGGCCGATTCGCGACTATGGCTCACTCACGACGACCGAGATTTCCCGGCACGCGTCTCCCGGCGGCTGCTTGAGCGCCAGAAACGAGCTTGCGAACGCGCCACCCACTCACGACACCCCGGACACGGGGCTCGCCCTCTCGGCGAGCCGAAATCGACGGAAACGCGGAGCGGATTCTCGCGCCCGACCGACGCTTTCTCCGCGTCCAACAACTGAACGTTCACTAGATTCGTAACGGTTGCAACTTTCAAACGTGAAACAGCGGCCAATCAGGCTGCGAGCTTTCAAGCATCGATCTTGCAATGACAAGATCACGCAGCGAGCCTATCTCGTGTAATCATAGGTCTGTTCGTATTGCATGAAGACGCGTATAATATATGAGGTGTGTTCGGTTTCACGCATAATGCGCATAATGTTAAGTCATTGACGTATGGATATTCATACGTCAATGTGTTAAGTACATACAAGAACATCTCACAAAAATTATACATATTAACATCCACAGCGTACTATAAACGCAACTTTAATCGAAATGCAAATGTCTGAAAAAATTAAAAATTCAATGTCTAAAGTCAATGTAATTTCACTTATAAATAATTCCGTAAAAAGGATATAAACTGGTGGAATTAATAAATCACCGATAAATGCTAATTAAAACACTCGATTCAATATTTCGCGTATTACTTTCGCGATGGATTAATTTTAATAACCGATGAAGATTTTAAAGCACGGCGTGAGAGAGATTCATTCCGAGTTCGAACGTTAGGAAAGGTAGCGCCCGTGTATTATTAAAATTAAAATAATTTTTATAATTCCCTTATCGCATTTCTACTTCAAATTACGCGTAATATTCTTCTTGTTTGTTGAGAAACTTTAGTTGAGAAATAACTTAATTACTTGTAACGAAGTTTCACAAGGAGTTGGCAAGAACTCTGAACTCGATTTCGAAAGCCCGTATCAGACTACGGATTGAAATTGGGATTAGATTGAAATTTGACCAATCAGAGTAAAAGTTACTGAACTTAAGATTAGTAAACTTTAAGCCCGTATCAGACTACGGATTGGGATTGGGATTAGATTGAAATTTAACCAATCACAGTAAAGTTTACTAATCTCAAGTTCAGTTACTTTTACTCTGATTGGTGAAATTTTAATCTAATCCCAATCCCAATCCGTAGTCTGATACGGGCTTAAAGAGATAGCGAGATAAAATACCGAATTGTCTCCCCTTGGCGAACTATCGTTGCGGCACCTGTTCCTCGCTTCCGCAAGCATTTCGCGTGCGTTCCCAAATGCATCGAGAAAAAAATTGTCCTAACCTCTCTCTCTCTCTCATCGTTGCGCTTTTGCGCTCCCCCGCAAGCGCGAGCGCGCCACTTGGCGTATCGTGCGCGACGCGAACGTGCGAGACTGCGAGGTTCATTTACGAACGTAAACCGGTGACCGTCACGTTGAGCTTTTGCTGACGTCGAGGGTTCCGATCGGGGAAACAATGCGCGTTGGTTAGAGGCCCAGTTCGTCCGTACAGCTGTTTCGATCCGGTCGTTTTAAGTTCGGCAGCGATAGCCACGATTACTGGACGATTATCGACGGCACGATAATGCACACGTTCCTGACACGAGGAAATGCTATCCTGGCGTATACGTTGAGCGTGTCGGCCTGCCTCACATTCTGCTGTTTTCTCTCGACAGTATTTATTGATTACAGGGCGAACGCGACGTTAAATACGGTTAAAGTTGTCGTGTAAGTGTTGTACGTGACTGTAAAACTTTATTGGACCGTTGCAATTTGTCACCTTATTTATTATACTTCCGTTCAGTTGCTCTCAACGGTTCTGTCGAAAGATCCATATTGTACTCCGAAATCGTATTTTGCAAGAGAACCAATTTTCTTACGTAGAGCCTGAATGCAAGTATTGCAATACTTGTGCTGCCTCAATGTATCAGAAGTTAATACGTGTAATTTATTATATTCCAATTAACTTGCGCTTACGTTTCTGTTGAAAGATCCATGTTGTGCTCACGAGTCATGCTCTGCAAGACAACGAGTTTTCCTGCGCGAAGTACTGCGTGCAAATATTACACAAAAGAACTTGAATACATCAGAGATTAATACATGTTTGATAATTGCACAATTTATTGTGTTTCGATAATGGAATTGCGCTTACGTTTCTGTCAAAGGATCCATATTGCATTTCGAAATTGTATTTTGCAAGAAAACACATTTTCCATAGAGTCTGAATGGAAATATTGCAAAATTTAGTCGGTCTGTTAGATATTAGTGCGTATGATTTATAATTGTTGCATTAAATGCATTTTATGTTGCAGAAAGAATGTACCAGATTACAGTGCGTCGAGAGAGAAAAATGACTTGGGTTACTTAACTTTTGATCTACAAACTGATATCCTTTTTTGCGCAGTATCATTACGAGTGTCCTCGTTACAGTCGAACATTTAGTTTGCATGACTCCACCTGAAACATAATTTCTAGTCGTATGCATTTCATAAAAATTGGCTCCGTTTTGGTGAAAATTACTTATTCTTTATGAACTGTATTTAGTTGACACATTTTGAATTGTATTTGCCTTACAAAACCTTTACATCTCACTCCGTTGTTTAACTGGAACGTTAAGCAATTATTCTTATACCTCACGGCGGAATATCAGACAGAAAATAATGAATTTAATCAGGTATTTGAATTTATGCACTTAGAATACATGTTCTCTTCCCTCGAGATCCCTTTAATAAGATTTGACCAACGTCTCTTATTTATTGGCAGGTAGTACTATGGGATAAGATAGTTCTTCGCGGAGATAATGCTGTACTCGACTTTAAGAATATGAACACGAAATATTACTTTTGGGATGACGGCAAGGGCCTCAGGTAAAAAAACCGACGTACTTTCTGCGGAAACGGAGCTTCTCTGTAATTTTTATTTACAAACTCGTACACGATAAATATATTTCTGCCTTCTCGTCTTTGCAGGGGAAATAAGAACGTAACGTTAACATTGTCCTGGAACATTATTCCAAACGCCGGATTGTTACCTAGTGTTAATGCTCTTGGCTCTCATACTTTTGCATTCCCGTCTGAGTACACAACGTTGCGCGTATAACGCATATTTAAATGTATATGTGTTATGATTGTGTACTATAATATGGTTTTTGTAAGACTCTTATTTAAATCGCATAAAATTCATGTACAATAAACAACGTTTATTTCTTCACGATTATTTTCTCATTGCTGTACTTGCTGAATGCTCAATTTGCTGTACCCCGTACAGGTATCCCCGACACATGTTTGCGTTAAATGGTCTATCAAACTTGAATATTGTGCCTATTAAATATACAAATATCTAGGAATTTGAAATCAATCTGTATTTTACAAAATGTCGTAACCATTTCCTTTTCATGAATTCTCGAATTTCTTCTTCCATACTTGCGTGGTTGAACGTTTCAGTAATTGATATCTCGTTTTCATTTATTGCTATTTTGTACATCTGTGTAGATGAGTGTTAAGCCTTGTTTTCATTACTATCTGAAGTTTCTTGTGTTTTAGTATCTTTCTTTTCTTCATCTGCACTTGACGACTCATCGTCGTCGTCATCCTCCGTGTCATCATCCTCCTCCTCCTCCTCCTCATCGTCATCGTCGTAGTCGTCATCATCTTCGTCTTCATTTGCATAACTAACAGTTCCATAACAAGACTCTTGATTTCCTGCCGCGAAGAAAGAAAACATTTAAAGGTATGAAAAACGCATAAGTATCTCAAACTTTAGAATCTTCAAATCTTCATTAGGAACAAAGGAGAGAATCTTGGTTTACCATAATTATATCCGTTCTCATCGTCGGACTCGGATGGACCACCTTGGTTTTGCCTGCCAAACTTGTGACTCCTCGCTTTAAAAAAGAAAGAAGAATAAACTTGTCTGATAAGTTTCTATGATTAAAAAAAAAACAAATACTGTCTGATCAACGCTTACTGGACATGCTTAGATCCTTAGTCTGCGACGTCTCGTAGCTGCACTTCGGGCAAGGAATAGCCTTGTTCTTCTCATATTTAAAACCTTTTCTACGAACGTGATCCTCGCAGTAGCACGTCTTACACCTGAGACAAGAGTACTGCCCCAAACGATTACACGACTGGCCTGCAAATTGTACGAACCATGTGAAAATGCAATTTAAATTAAACTAAGAATGCAATGTATCTCGTTGTATATTGCTACATTTGAAACTCTCCGCTTCCAGCACTTGGCAGGACGCCTGATGTTCGAACTGATCGTCCTCGCACAAGAAACAGTCGCAGAACGAGCACTTGAAGATCCTCCCGCCGTGATCCCAAACGCCCCTCTCGCACTCCTGACAAACGGCGTCCGCCAGCGGGCAAGTGCAGGCGTGGCTGGTGAGGCAACGTCTCCCATGGCACACCCAGGCCTCGCAGTAATCGCATATCGCTCCCTGAAACGTTTCAATCTGTGATAACGCGTCCGGTAGACCACTCGAGGGCAGCTTTAAAGCCTGGCTCTCTTGTACTCTTAAGACATAAGACAATTGTTGTGCGTTACCTCAAGACAAAGGCTTACAAAACTGTCTTACGTCTTAAGAGTACAAGGCAGCCGTTCTGCTCAGGTCCAAAGATTTAGAAGGAAGCATTGTCTCAAGAGTATAAAAACAGCCGTTCTGTTCAGGCTCTTATCTACGACCGAGACAGTCCTAAGCGTTTGCGGACTGTTCTCCGCCGTCGGCCTGTCTTGT